CATTTTGATTGGTGACTTTTCTGATGGTGATTCTTCAGAAGATGATTATTCAACTAATCTAAAATATGACAAAATTATTTTAATTTAGTTATTAAATTACATTTCGATGTATTTACAGTCTTATATTATAATTACTAAAATACATAGATTTTTAAATGTAATTTGGGTATTCTTAGGTATAGCATACACTCTATGCAGCAACATGTTTAATACATAAGAATATAAGAATATTTACATTGCAGTTCACAAAGATTTCTGTAAATGAACAAATGATTTATCAATTATAGGCCGTATTATAGATACTGAGTATAATATATAAGTCTATGGTATGATACAATTCTACAAAAATAAAGACAGTGTTAAAAGGAATAAAACAATTTGTATTTCTGTATAGTTAAGCATGTAGTATAGGCTTATTGGGCACAAGTTTTATTATAATTTTAAATTGTACCTAACTTAAATTAAATATTGATATTTACATTGTGTCATATAAGCAGGGCTTTTAAGTTCAAGCCCCAAAAACTATTAAATAAGCATGCACTTATGCGCTAAAAACTGGCAAAATAAACCTTTCAAAGTTTAGAAATATGAATTCATATAGACTCAAAATCTAAAACTATACATTAAAAATAAGTGGATTAAAAAATGAAGACATCAAATGTAATTTTTGAAATAGCAAGAATTATCTGTTCATTTTTTTAATAATTTGACATAGCAACAAATCTCATACATTTAATAAAGTGAAAAAATATAAATTATTGCGCTTTTCATTTAAGTTAGGTAGGTACAATTTAAAATTATAATAAAACTTGTGCCCAATAAGCCCATACTACATGCTTAACTATACAGAAATACAAATTGTTTTATTCCTTTTAATAGATAAATGCAAAATTATCAAATTATATTATTGGCTTATCGGCGATCCTCAAGTGCTTGTAGGAAAAACTTGTGCCCGCGGGCAGTCAATATTATTGTAATTTATGAGACAAACATTTTTTAAATTTTCATCCAAACATTTTTACTTGTTTGAAATAAAAAATATGTAGGTGTGGAAAATATTGATCTAAGTTAAATATGTCTCAAAAAGTATAAAATTCAGTATAAAAGTGTAAAATATGCCCTAAAAACAAAAAAAGACTCAAAATATGCATTTATATGCAAAATAAAATTTCAAAACTAGCTTTGTGAAAGCATGAAACGTATTTGTTTTATACTCTAATATTTTTGTGACTTAGCAAAACAAATATGCAAATGCTACAAGTCCTCTGCCCTAGTCATAACTAAGAAACGAAATTTTCACTACCTACATAAAAAGATAACTTAAACAAATAATAATTGATTTTGAAACAATAAGAACATTTTTCGTATAAGTGATACCAAAAAGATAAAAACTATATTGCACAAACGCACAGTCAAAGTTCTCCTAAATATATGTGGTGAAAATTTCGTGAATTGATATTTTTTCAAGTTGAGGCACAGAATTTTGGGTTTGATTTCATTTCTTTATTAAGCTCCAAATTCTACTCTTTAGAAGTTTAGACCATGGGCCTTTTTGGGCACGGCGTTTTGAGATTGATTTCACTTCTTTATTAACATCAAAATTCTATTTTTTCTTCCAATCGCTTCAACTTACGCACAGAAAGCCTTTTTTACCTCTCCGAAGTGGATATTATATATAAATGAATATTTGTGTGCAGATCTCTGGAAAGAAGATAGGCTAATTTAAAAATTGTTAAATTTGGTTTTTTTTATTCATCGGATTTTAGTATGGTTATAGGTTAGGCTAGGATTATGTATTAATCCACTGTATTATATCAAAATAAACTTGGTATAACTTTGATACTTTAGAGTTAACCCATACACTTACGTACAAACAGCACTGGGTCCTCGATCTACAGCAGGTAGATAGTCTACCTGATAATATACTGCTTGCGAATCAGAATTTTTATTCCAGGCAACAGAAAAGTTATGTAGGTACATTAAATAACGAATTGAACAAAGTTTGATTCATATAGAGTTGGTACATTTAATGGGCAAAGAAGTGCACAGGATCAGCTAGTAATAAAATATTTGGGTACCTATAGCCTTAGTTTAAATAACGATTTATTAAATACCTACGTAGTTTTCCAGACGTTTTAAGAGCTTGGATCATTTTTCTAAGTATTGAAAACCGGAACAGAATTTAAATGTTTTCAAACAACCGGAACCCATATTTTTAAATTAAAATATTTTAATGTACCTAGGTATATGAAACATTTAATTTGAAGATACTAAAGAATAAATAAAATAAATAAATTTTTGTAATCGATTAATACTTGTTTTAACTAGAACCCTAACTTAAACTATTAAATTAATTTTCCAAAACCAGAACCGGAACCAGAACCCTTAAATAAAAATTGCCATAAACCGGAATCGGAACCAGAACCTCTTAATAATATAATTAAGTACCGGAACCGTAAAAACTAAAAGGTACCAGTTCCTGATTTGAATAAGAAGCATGTTATTGTGTCGTCACTAGTCAGTGAAAAAGATTCTGTTTGGTTGTATCGGCAGTTTAGGCTTACCTTCGTGTTTTATGTATATCCGACGACGAAAGTTCGCAATGTGGTCATATCTGTCAATGTTGTCATGTTGATACCAGCTTTAACTTTTAAAGTGTTTGACCTGAGAAGTAGGAATTATATCTACGAGTTCAAAGGCTTCTAGTATAGGTACCTTAGTTAGGTATTGATGGACAAACAAACATTGGGTATGACTATCCTTTTGGCAGGATTGATTAGTCCGAGAATTTTTATAACTTTGTTGTTTATATTTATTGTTGGAGTGTTTTCTATCAGTGAGTCAAGTATCTGTTTGTTGGATAGGAATATGCAGAATCTGTTGTTTTGATATTCTAGAGATATATTGGGTATATGTAATATTTTTGGGGCCGATTATGTGACATATTGCTATTATATATTATTCTCTTTGAGGTATTCCGTCAATTTTAGTATTGTAGTATAGTAAAAATAAATATACAGAGCAAATTCAATATTACTAGTGAATATTTTATGTTTATTTTTAGATATATAATAATTTTACACAAATACAAAATCCGTAATTTGACATGCTACTCTAGATATATTTAGGTACATGGTTTTATGGTAAAGGTTTATAATATTTATTATAATAATATAATAATAATAATGTTATACATTTATACTTCATTATACAGAAAAAAATCAATAAAATACAATTTATTTACAAGATAGCCAATCATATACAACACCTAAATAGTTACACGGAAAAATATTACAATTGCTATTTATTATTGCATGAACTTTTCAGAAGAAATTTTGTAATTAAATGTATTTTCATAGGTGATCAATGATCATAATCATATATTAAACATGAAATTGTTCAACCGAAAAATATCATATTAATAATTGTTAAAATTAAATGTAGTTTTATATGAATAAGTTTTTTTTATATAATATTATAATATATATTCATATCATATTTGAAAATACAATAACTACAAACTATGCACAATAGGATAATATAAATATAATACAAATCTTTTTTTGTTTTTTTTTTAAATTTTGTTTTTTTTTTTAATTACTGATATTTATATAATATAAATTATTTTAAGTCAAAAATTCAAGAAAAAAATTACAGACAAAAATTTTAATACAAATGCATTCAGTTGAAAAAATTATAGAATGCATTATTGCACTGCGGATCATTGCCAAACTGATTATCTACGGGATTTTTCCGTTCTTCAACCATTGGTGATTGTCTACATGCATCTGCATATGTCGACATACCCTGATATTGAGGAGATAATGCCTGACGATCACCATTCATTGGTAACATTATATTGCCATTAGGTTGTGCTTGTGCTTGTCGTTTATATAGTGGTGTGCGATCAATTTGTTCAATATTTGATTGTTGTTGACCGAGTGTAAATTGATTACTCAATGGTTTATACATATCATCTGTTCCACTACCATCTAAATGTGGAATTCCCTGTAAAATGTTATTAAAATGTAATTAAAATGTATATTTTTATACAATAAATTTAAATTTACCTGTGATGGATTCCCAAAACCATTATGATTGATTTGCTGTTTTTGATTTTGCTGTTGTTGAATCAAAATATTTAACAAATCATCAGGAACTCTATTTCCTATTTCTGGAGGAGGTACATTCATTTGCAATGGAATATTTGGAGGTGGTTGTTGAATAGGCGGCGGCTGCTGGATAGCTGACTTTTTGTACTGAGTTTGAGACCGTAACAGTTCAATAAACCTATAACATAAAATTAATTAATGTTTATGTACTTTTATAGAATTAGATTCTACACATACTTTTGTCCCATCAAAGCACCACCATTATCTGTTAGAAATTTCAGCCATTCAACTTGTTTTGTCTGAGAAGT